TGCTTAGGAAATACAGTTAAAAGAAATATCACTTTGGATATGGAACAAGTGAACTCTCAGTAGTCCTGGGAAAGGTAGGAATGATGTGCTGCTGAGGGTGGGTGAGCTGGTGCAGAAGATTCCGGGTTAAACCCATGTCTCTGCTTTTCCACCATGCCTTATTTTTTTCCCCATGGTGAGACTTGGCTTTCGGGGTTGTGCTGATGAATTGTTCAGCTGTGGTGAGATTTACTTAAAAGGTAAAAATAACCCATAAAACCCCAGTGTGGGTGGTTCAGTAGCTGGAGCTGCCACATGTCTCCAGTGAACCCCGAGTAAGCCCTTGACAGCCACCGCTGCTCACTTGGAAGTGCCCCATGAAATGGGTACAAAGCCAACCTGCAGCAATCACTTTTACACAAGCTCTTAATATTTTATGGTCGAGTTTTATGCCATTGCATTCAAAGGTGGAGGTTTATGCAGTGGGCTTTCCCTGCTGAGTGCACAGGAGTGGGTTGAAGGACCGGTGGCAGTTGCCAGAGTGCGATGTTGAGAACTTTGATGCTTCCAACACGATGCTGAGTCATGAATTGATTGTGAAGCAGATTGAGTGAGTGTGGAAACATCAGGCCTTTCTTCTAATATTTATTAGCCTGTGCTACTGTTACGAGTTTATCAGTGGTTTGTGGCTTGTCCTGCCTTTATCAGAAATGTAGGGACAGCGGTAACCTTTGCCTGCGTGCATTCTCTGAAGAGGCAATCTGTCACTCTCCCCATAATTAAAAATATTGCTGTTTTAACCTTGATGGCCACTTTTATTGTCATCATTAGATGATATGAAACCCCATCTGAACTGGAGTCCTGACCCCAGAGGCTGATCAGGGAGTGCTTGAGCAGTCTGGGAAATGAGACACCAAGACACCTCTACTGTGTTAGAGGGTGTTGAAGACTCAGGATTGTGTCGTATCAGGAAACAGTTTTAATCCTCATTAAAATAATCCAGTGGGATACTTGTGAGTGGGAGAGGTTTGTTTTGCCTCCCAGGACAGTTTGACCACTCAGCACGAGCATTTCATGAGACTAAAGCAGGTGAGGTAAAAACTCAAGTTACAGTGAGAACAAGCACCTTGTTTAATCCTTCTTTTGTCTTCAGGAGCTGTTCTTTCCTTGTTCTTATAAACTTTTCTCTGTATATGCTATAATTTGCTTCCTGCTTTGGAAACATGTCTTGCTGTTTTTTTTAACTCAGATATTCACCATCTTTTTGGTGATTTACTTCCATTTCAACATCCCTGCTAGCTGGAAGACAGAGCCAAACCTTGCTTAAAGCCAGCACTGATAGCCAGAATGTTAATTTATTTTTTTTTTTTTTGGTCTTAGCATTTCTGAAGCATTTTTTGGAGGGGTGGGATATGAAATCCTCTCCCTGTGGAATGAATAATGTCTATGTAATGCTGGTTTTGGAGACTTTAGCAGCATATTTACATTACTGGCTTCCTTGCTTAGTAAACTGTAAAACTAAAAAGACCACCACGCAGCTGGGAGGACATGAAAATGTGCCAAGTTGCTCGAGCTGGGTGATATTACCCCAAGAGTGCTAAAAACTTGAAGGAAGTAGCTGAAATAAGAGCCAACAAGCTTCTGGGGTCTGGCAGATGTGATGATTTAAATACAAATAGTTAAATAAAGGGGAAATGCAAAAAGCAGCTCCAGGAGCGAATCAGAATTACAGGCCATTCTTGTAGAAGTAAAGCCCAGAACTAGTTTTGGTGAGCTCCTTGATGAACGTGAGCAGTGTCAGTGACAGGAAATCATGGCTCTTGGAGCTCTTAGGAAGGATCAGGGAGTATAAAATAGGGTGTTATGGGAGCCACAGTCATGATTTCCAGGCATCTTTCCACAGGTTTCCTTATCTAAAGAAATCATGTGGGTGGGGTTAAAGGGGAAAGGTCCTTACAGGGGTAGAAATGAATAAAATTACAAGAAATGGAGGGTAGGGGCAGCTGATGGATTTTTTTTTTTTTCCTGGCAGAGATGGATCTGGAAGGATTTGCATGTTGTATATATAGAAAAAAGGAGGTGAGAAGTTCAGTGGCACTGCAAATGTGGCGGTTTTAATCAAGATAAATAGGAGGGATTGTTTCTACTGGGAAGATTGTAAAGTTGGTGAGACCAACTGGGCTGGGAAACTGCAGAGCTTTCAGGTAATCCCCACAGGAAAAATGATCTTATCACCTGTCAGGTAGAGTCTGGGATAAGTTACTGCTCAGGAGTCCAGTTTTGAGGTGACTGTAGTTGGAAAGAATATTATTGCAAGGCTGTAAGTAGAAAGGATTAAATGGGCCACAGCCTCTACAAACAGAACAAATTCAGAGCAGTGTGTGAGGCTGGGCAGCTCCTTGCCGTAGGATGTTGTGTGTTAGAAACGTGTGTGGCTTTAAGGAGAGATTTGGCAAAGGAAAGATTGCTTAGATGGGTGACCCAGGGGACCTCTGAGCTGGAAACTGCACGAGATCAAAGGAGCAGCCTTTTGTCTCCTAACATAGGCATCTGTGTTTTGCTGCTGCTCCTCTTTGTTGACTGACAGAAGGGATGTGAACGTGTCCTAAAACCTAAAAATACTTCCCCGCAGGTGTATGTGGAGGGGCAGGATGTACAGGAACTAGTCAAGTGAGTAAGAGGGCTGAACAAAGAACAGAGAGGGAAGAGAAAGGCACTGATGGATCCAAAAGCTTGACAATTTTAAAATGAGCGAAGAGGTCATAGATAGCAAGGGGAGAAACACTAATTTTGGAGAAGCTGGAAGAGGGGCTGTGGTGAATGTACAGCTCCTGGTGCCCCAAGGACACGGGTGGGAAAAACAATGTCCTCCATACAGAACCCCTCTGTGTTTGAATGCTGCTTCTTCTGAAGGGGAAACAGAGGCATGGTTGGGGTCTATCTTGCGATGTTTTGCCTGAGGGGAGAGTCTCAGACACGTGTGTACATACGTGCACAGGAGTGGAGGCAGAAGGGCCCAGCTTCCCTGGGAGCAGCATGGTGCAGGGCGGGTCAGACTCCCAAACACCATGGCTGCATGGAGCTGGTGGGACCCAGCCTGTGCCAGCACCGAATTCCAGCTTATCTGATCCAAGTTCCAATCCACAGGCAGGTCTCCCAGTTAACCAGTCTGGCACTGCTTTAGGTTGGAGCAGAGGAAATGCCTCCTCTTCAGGCCAATCGAGATGTGTCTCTCAAAAGCCACGTATTTACATGTGCTAGATCAAGTGACCTGGGCTCTGTGTGCCACCTGGAATTGGTCCCCAAAAGCCATGATCCTCCTCTGGAGCAAGGGTCAGGTTTTCCTCTTGGCTGGTGCTTCCTGGCACAGCAAGCCAGCTCTTCTCTTCCCTTGGGCTGAGCAGTGTCCTTTTGTTGCACAAACGCTCCTCGTTTTAGGCTCTGTTCTTGGTAGAATCAGTGGCTTAACTGGCTGTCCTGTGTGCTGCTCGTCCTTCTTGACTAGCTAGTATCCTCATGACTTGGGAATAGCAGTGTTCCTGCTTATAATTTGGACTAATAAATTGGGGAGGGACAACTGTTTTCTTCCAAGGATTGTACTGCTGTCTTCAGACTAAATTTGGGAAATGCTGATGATGATCGGAAGAGGACTCTCACATCTAGTGAAGGGCTTGACTCTGTATGTTGACAAAGCTTTGCAGTGGGCTTAATGATCTGCTGACCTTATCCGATGGGAGGAGGCAGTGCTATCTAAAAATCTGACACTTAATCCAAACCTGTTCTTCCCTGTTGCTTGGTCACTGGATCATCCCATACTCCGGAAGAGCACAAGTGAGCAGATTCACACCAGGAGTCAGAGATATGCTGAGTATAGAGATGCAAACCATTAATCTATTTCTTACTTTTGGTAATCATATTAGGCTCTAGCAGTAGCCTAACTACATTTATTACAACTTAGAATCCCAGAATCATTCAGGCTGGAAAAGGCCTTCAACACCACAGTCCCCCCTGTGCCCGATGCCCACCTTGTCCCCCAGCCCAGAGCACTGAGTGCCACGGCCAGGCCTTCCTGGGACACCTCCAGGGGTGGGCACTCCAAACCTCCCTGGGCAGCCCCTGACAAGGCCTCACCACCCTTTCCAGGAGGGAATTCCTCCTCCTGGCCAACCTGAGCCTCCCCTGGCACAGCTGGAGGCCGTTCCCTCTCCTCCTGCCCCTTGTTCCCTGGCAGCAGAGCCCGACCCCCCCCCGGCTCCCCCCTCCTGTCAGTGGACTTTGCAGGCCCAGAGGTCCCACCTGAGCATTCCCTTTTCTCCAGGCTGAGCCCCCCCAGCTCCCTCAGCCCCTCCTGCTGCTCCAGCCCCTTCCCCAGCTCCGTTCCCTTCCCTGCACACGCTCCAGCCCCTCCGGGTCTCTCCTGTTGAGGGCCCAGAACTGGGCCCAGCCCTCGCGGTCCCTCAGCGGTGCCAGCACAGGGGACAATCCCTGCCCTGCTCCTGTGCCCACACCATGGCTGGCACAGCCCAGGGGCCCTTGGCCTTCTTGCCCCCCTGGGCACAGCCGGGCTCGTGTCCAGCCGCTGTCACCAGCACCACCAGGGCCTTTCCCAGCTTTGCAGCCCCTCTGCCCCAGCCTGGAGCTGCAGGGGTTGGTGTGACCCAAGGGCAGGACCCGGCACTGGGCCTTGTTGTCCCTCAGCCCACGGATCCAGCCTGTCCAGCTCCCTCTGCAGAGCCTTCCTGCCCTGCAGCACATCAACACTCCCACCCAACTCGGAGTTGCCTTACTTAGAGTGCACTCTATAGTTTCTGTAAGAATTGATGCCTTAAACTGAGACAAAATTTAGGAAGCTGCTTTTCAAACTGTCTGTGATAACTGATATTCCCAAGCAGGTTTTTCTCAGGACTAAACCAGGTTCGAGGTGTCCCTGAGCCTTGGCTGCTGGCAGCTGTGCACGGTGTCGGTGTGTTTGTTTGAAAGCCCAGGCTCTTGCTCATCCCTTGCGCTTTTTTCTTTTGTAGTTCAAAACCCATTTCTTCACCTCTGATTGTCCAAGTTGGGCATGCAGAGACGCTCCAGCCCCTGCTTGCCCTGATGGGTTTCTTCAAAGACAAGGAGCCTCTCCTGGCCAACAATTTCGCCAGGCAAACGCACCGGAAGTTCCGCAGCGGCCGGATCGTGCCTTACGCGGCCAACCTGGTGTTCGTGCTCTACCACTGCGACCACATGAACGCCTCCAGGGAGGAGTATCAGGTGCAGATGCTGCTGAATGAGAGACCAATGTCCTTCCAGCACTCCAATGAAACCATCTCCACGTACGCCGACCTCAAGGACTACTACAGGGACATCCTGGAGAACTGCCACTTCAAGGAGGAGTGTGAACTGCCCAAAGTTAATGTGACTGCTGTGGATGAGCTCTGAGGGTGTTCTGCTCATTGGTCTCGGGTCAGTTCGACAGGCCCTGCAAACAAGCACTTTGGATGATTTGCTGCTGCTGTGTTAACTTCCTAGACTTGCAGATTGGGTGGGTTGTCTCAGCTCAGTGTGCTGGTTCTCTGTTGCATAAGCAGAACTACAAAAACAAATGCTGTAACAGGGAAGTTGCTGAGCATTTGTAACAAATATGTGATGCAAGACACAAGTCCCTGTGTGTTTATATGTACCAATAAGCTAAGTTCATTGGTCAGTCCCTCTATGAATATGCTATAGATGGATTTAAGAGCTAGGGCAGCTTCTGTTTTATCAGAGCTGCAGGTGGTTGGACTAATTTAGTATTGCTTTGCACTGCCTGTGTTGCTTGCTGCTGTTTCCCTGTGCCAGGCATGAAATACTTCAAACCTGTGAGCTTTTCTTTACTCTTTTTCCCAAGCTTGTAGAAGGGAGAGAGTACAGAGCCTTTCTTCACAGCTGCACAACTTCTGCCTGGACAGCACCATCTCTTTTTTTTTTTTTTTTGGGCATTTTAAAGCAGGAGGAGTTGCAGTGTTCCTGCATGCGTTACCTGCCTGAAAAGGGGTGAGGAGTTAGAAATCTTAAAGTCCTCACCGACCCATCCCACATGCCAAGTTATCCTCCAGGGTAAGTAAATCATCTTTAAAAAGGAGTAAAAATAAACAGAAAGAAGTGAGGGAGTGGAAAGTAGCAACTCTTCCTTTAAGTTGCTCTGGGAGATGCAGCAGTTGTTCTCTAAAATAATCTGGGGTGTCCTTTCCCTGTCACCCTCCGTTTCTGGTGTTGAATCCTTGGGCTGGGACATTTGGGTTAAGCTCTGCTCTGGCTCTGAACAGCTTGGTCCTGTCTAGGTGCTGGCAGTTTTCCCAGCAGCTCTGGATGGAAGGGATCTCTGGATGTCTCCAGCCTCCTGCTTGAAATGGGATTAATGCTAACCCTAAATCCAGGCAGATTTTGGACTATATAAAGATCTGGGTGAGACTTGACTTCTGCTGCCTTTAAGCCACCACATTTGGTGCCACTTACATAGGCCTTATATGTTTGATGTGCCACCTTGGTTTTGAAGTGCATCTGGTTTTAAAGAGATGAATTGTGTAGAAGGACTGGTGATCTCTTAAAGCAACTGCACTTAAAGTTGTTTCACTTGTGACTGAAAGCTGGGAAGTATTTTAGAGCTCTGCAGTGTGGCAGAGAGAGGAAAACTGAAGATAACTGATGAGACGTGTCTGAAATGCAGGGAGTCAGATAAAATTCCTTCCTCACCTGGAAGGGAATGGCTGTGTGAACAAATGAAGCAAATGAAGGTGTGGATTTATGGTGCTGGTAACTCCTGAAGTGTGTACTCTCACCCCACAGTGAGTGTTCCAGGGCTCAGCCTCTCAAGTGAGCCGTGTTTTGCTGTGTTTCCTGGCGAGGAGGGGAAAGGTTGGAATAAGTGATTACCACAGCATATCAGGAGCACTATATGTTTATACCCTCATTTGCTGAGGGCTAAGTTCTTTTTGTGGGCTCACCTTCAGAACTGGGAATTTAACTGCTGCAAGAACAAGAGCAGAAAAGAGAATGCCAACCTGGCTCAAAGCTGAGGAGTTAAACTTAGTGTGTGATTTTTTTTTTTATTTATTTTTTAATCTTTCTTGAGGACTTAGGCTTCTGTCACTCCTTTGCAATATGGCTTGTGGAAAAACACTTAAGATTTACATACCTGTGAGTTAAGGAGCCATCAAACACCTGGTTTTTACTGTTCTTGGAGTTAAGGGCTTTTCCCTACCTGGGCACGTAGGGCCCTGTTTCATTAGTGCACCAGCAGCAGAGACCAAGAGATTACTGAATATACTGGCAAAATCTGGTGGGTATTCCAGCATTAACATCCCAGTGAAACACTTGGCCCGTGATGGCTCTGCAGCTCCCTCTGAAGCTGGTGACAAGGCTGGGGAGGAGTTCAGTGCTGCCACCACTGTAAGGATATAGGTCAGGGTAATTGTCAGGCCCTGCATCTGACTTTACTGCTCTATAAGCTTTGCATGTCTCCTTTTTCACATGATCCTGCCTTGGGACCGAGTCAACTGATGGTAATTGCTGTGACTGATGCCAGTTAGGGACTTGGTTGCAACATTTGAGGCGAGCTGCAAAGAAATGAACCTTTGTTTAAAGGCAGTTGAGTTTGGAAATAGCAGATAGCAGAGTGAGAAAATCCACCTCTGAACAAATATTTTTTTTTTTCTGTGAGTCAGTCGCCCTGGGATGATTCATGGACAGAAAGGATGAAAGCCTGACTATGGGAGATGGATGGAGGATTCTGTTGTCAGTTCAGCAAGACTGACTTTAAGACATCACATTTGTTAAAAGATACATCCTTTTTCCTTGTGGAGGGAGGAGTACAGTGCACTTGACTGCTTTTTTGACTGTGTGCCAGGTGAGGTGGAGGAACCAAAAAATTCCTTCTGCAGTGGAGTATCACGTGCTGCTGCATTAGCAAGTTGATGGTGTGCTTAAATTCTGTGCAAAGGATGGTTCCTCAGGGGCTATTCCCTGTTTTACCTTGGAGTGCAGGTCTGTCACACCTCCAGCCAAGCACATCTGGCTTCAGTGGTGTCAGCAATTAACTGGGAAGGGAAATGTGCTGCCTGGGCTCTGGTCTGGGTTTAGAGGATGCTCTGACTCACCCCTTTGGCACAATTGGAGGCTCAGTGTGGAAACTTTGCACCAGTAGAAGTGTTGGGACATGTAAATACTCTGGGCACTTACTGTGATTTTTACCACTGGGGAGGTGACTTCACTCTGACCCTTTTATCTGGTTAACACAGACACTTGTGTAGACACTGGAATGGATTAAAATATTCCTATCAAGTTGGGCACTAGCTCAGTGTGAGCAGTGCTTGAAGAGGCTGCCGCATCTCCTGGCATAGCACATTCCCACATCCTGCAAGAAAAACAATGCTTTCTCCTCCTTCACCTTGCCTCTGGATGCCTCATCTCAGTCTTCTGTCAAGGACTCTTTGCAACCTTTCTCAAACTGGAAGCTTTCACTGATGGAAAATACTGACAGTGTTCTTGGCTGCTGGCCTTAAATATGTGTGAAATGTGTTTTAATTTGTTAAATGTCTAATCTTTCTGGCAAATCAGTTTTTTTCCTCCTAGAAGGTACTGCTGTCGAGCTGGCCAATGCCAGTTTGTAATAATAATGGCACTAACTGGATGAATTTTGAGAACTTATGTGGATTTGTGGTGAAATAAAACTGCACCCTTCTTTCATCTCTATTTGATGATCTCCAGTACCATGGCTGTGTTCTGCTTCAAAATACGTTTGGTGGGTTGATATTACTTATGTTGGTGTCTCTGATTATTTTAAGTGTTCAAATTAATGGTTAATAGAAAATGCCTCAATTGGGTTTTTACTCTCATATTTTGAGGGAAGTGTAAAGATTTACTCTCGTTTCCAGGAGCCCTGGTTTAAAACAACAGCAGCAGTTTTCTGGCAGGGTTTTTGCAGATGCAGAAAGGATGTGATGACTGAACAGCATCTTTGATCAAGTGCTGTTTCTGCATTTTCTATGAAATAGAAAATAATTGAGGCTGTTTTCTTTAAAACAAAGAAACCCCCCCCAAACTCTCTAGGAAAAGGAATGAAATGCCTCAAACATGAAGACCCCAAAACTGTATAGAACCTTCAGGGGGAGGAATACAATCACCACCATCCATCTCCCCTGCTCTGTATTTTGGGTGTATAATACATTAAATAATCATTTTGTTACTTGCCCAACTTTTCCAAAGGAAGTTGGTATTGTCAGGTGCTATTTGCAGTTGCTGGCGTGGCAGGAATAACGATTTGTCTTTAAATTGTGAACTTCTCACTTTCATGGGCTTTCAATTAGAGGCTGTTTCTCCTGACCCCGCTGGACTGAGGGTCTCGTGTCCTCCACTGCCCGTGCAAGGTGGACAGGGAGGACCAGGAGAGGAGGAGAATCCTGCCCAAATGCCAATACTTGGGTGTGCCCACCAAAGCCCTGTGAGCCAGGGAAAGCTCGGACCATCCAGACTTTTAGGAAGGTTCTTTCTTCCCACCCTTCCTCCTGCTCTGGATTTGCTGTCTTGAGGCCACCTGCCCTTCCCTCAGCTGTGTCACCCTGTGCTGCTGAGGCCACACCTGTGTGGCTTCCTTGTGTGTAGTGGCTTCCTTGGCTTTAAAAGCCCTGCCTGTGTCTTGTGCTGCTCTGACTGATGGGGGTGTGGGTGTGTTTTGCCACCTTCAAAGTCATCTTCACCAAGACTCAGCAACTCCTTTGTATCCAGTTCAGCTGCTGAGTGCTGTTTGTCTGCCTGAATTCTCAGGATTTGGGATCCAGTAAATAGAAAGCTGTTTCTGATGTTCATAATGTTTTTGAAGAGGTTTTTTTTTTTTTTTTTGTTTGTGGAATATATGCCAGGCCAGAGCTGGGTTCTGCTTCCAGATCTGATACAGGGATGTGTTTATAAAGGCCCTGTGACTTTATTCCCCTCCCTTGTTTGCATCCAGAAGTGGAAAATGAAGATTGTATATAGATAGTTTCATTTACAGCTATTTTTTTCCCACCCGACTTATTTCAATACCTTAAAGAGTTATTTTTATGTAAAATCAAGACAGAGGAGGTTCAGGCTGACACCATATGAAGTTTATGGTGGTGGATTCAATCACTTATTTATTTTAACAATCCCTTTGAGAAAGGGTTTAAAGGGAGCATTGTTTTTCTGACATTCTGTTGAAAGGTTTGAGCACACCTCTTACTGTGTTCAGTTAACAGAAACAAATCCCTGCTCTTCAGGGAAGGGATTATTGTTGAAGGGCTAGTATGGAAGGAGCTGAATTCCTTATTTATTCAGGGGTCAGAAGAGCTCTGCAGACTTTTCCACACCAATAACCTGCAGCTCTCAAATGGCTCAGTGGATGTGGTAACAAGTCTTGAACCTAGTACAGCAATGGAAGGTGCCCAGCTGATCCCAGGAAGCACTCCAGAAAGAGGAACCAGCTTGGATGGGGCTGAAGGTCCTTTAGCCTGGTGACCTCTGGCTTTTGGTAGGATGTGGTGCCTGAGCAGATGCACAGGGATAGAGCAAATATTTCCCATACACTCCTGACTGTGGCTGTGGGGTTTCTTTGAGTTAAGCAAAGTGGATTTGTGTTTAGCTTTTTATGTTTCTCATAAGGAATTTCCCTTTGGCACAACTCTCCTCCAAAGCTGTGATCCTGCCCCTCTCAGGGGAGACCCCCCTGCAGAGCTGCTCCAGCCCTGGGAACAGCCCAGCAAGGACATGGAGCTGCTGGAGCCAGTCCAGAGGAGGCCCCAAGAGGATCCGAGGGCTGGAGCAGCTCTGCTGGGAGGAAAGGCTGGGAGAGTTGGGATTGTTCAGCCTGGAGAGGAGAAGCTCTGGGGTGACCCAATTGTGGCCTTCCAGGGCCTGAAGGGGCCAACAGGAAAGATGGAGAGGAACTGTTTATACTCCAGGGTCTGGAGTGCCAGGATGAGGGGGAATGGCTTCCCACTGCCAGAGGGCAGGGATAGATGGGATATTAGGATGAAATTGTTCCCTGTTAGGGAGGTGAGGCCCTGGCACAGGTTGCCCAGAGAAGCTGTGGCTGCCCCTGGATCCCTGGAAGTGTCCAAGACCAGGTTGGACGGGGCTTGGAGCAACCTGGGCTAGTGGGAGGTGTCCCTGCCCATGGCAGGGGTGGGACTGGATGATCTCTTAGCTCCCTCCCAACCCAAACCAGTCTGTGATTCTATGATTTGCTTTGCAGTGGGTTGTGGATGCTGCAGCTCAGCTGGAGCTTTGGGAAAGTCCAGCTCCTTCCATTTGAGCCTCCTGCTAGGCTGCAATTTCAGCCACGGTTTTGGGAGCTGTGATTTTTAGAACAGTAATAGCTTCCAGCGTACTCAATTAGCAGAGTTGATTACCACATGCAAATGGTAAAGCTAAAGCTTGGCATGTGTTCTGGAGCAGTTCTTGTGATACAGATCTTGTTTCAGTGTTGTGTTTTCCTGAACACCAGCAATCCATCTGATTCCTTGGAGCACTTCTCTTGAGAGAGGAGTTAAACACTCCATCTCTTTGCATCCCACCTGTGCTACTTGGGACTTGTTGTTTTCCCCCAGATGGCAGTGGCTTATCTTGCTTATTTGTTCCTTGTGCTGAAATCACTCTGTTCTTCTCATGGTTATCATTGCTACCTTCATTTTTGGCTTGGTGTTACCCTGTGCCTATAAATACTTTTCCTGGGCCGGACTTGCACACCCTGTTCAAGGTGAGGCTTCTCTGTCAGCTTGAAAAGGGGTGAAATGATAATTCTTGTGAAATTTTCTAGGGTTTTATTTCACACTTCCCCCACACCAAATAGCATCCCAAAAAAACCTCTGTCCTCCATGCATAATGTATTCCTCCTTCTTGCTATTAGAGGCTATTTACTGCTCTCTGAGGATCTTGGTTATGTAAAAATACCTGTACACACTGGAACAGCTTTTTATCCTAATGTTTACAAATTTATGGTATCCTGTATTTTTTAACTACGGTGTTTTGAAATGAATAATTGGTTCTTTAAAATAAACAGACAAGGGATGAACGGTAGAGGGAATATTTTCAAACCATCAGGTAGTTCTGGCCAAAGCACAGGGAGGTGGCTCTTAATCCTCTCTGATCATACCTTTGCTTGATCAGCCCAGGACACAGTTGGCTTTCTGGGCTGCCAGCACACATGGCCAGGTCACGTCCAGCCTCTCCCCCCACCTAGCAATTTAAAACCCCAACCCCCTCAGCTCTAGTTCCTGGTGTACCTGCCAGGAGAGATTGGAAAACCTTTGTGCTTTGATGTTCAGCCTGCAACTTTACACTTGGCCTCTGTCTCCCGGTTCTGTGTTTGGACATCCAGTCACTGACCTGCCTGATCCCTCTGGAGATGCCACTTGCCTCTGATTTCAGTCTTTGCTTTGCCAGATCTGATAGGTCAGCCCTTCATCTCCTCCTCACCTGACTTATTTCTCCTGGCTCGCTTCACTTCAGTTCTTTTCAGCTTAAATGCCCACAATTGTACTTGGTTTTCCAGATGAGGTCCTGCTGGCAGGGAGATTTCCCCACCTTCCCTTTGGGAAGGTTAATCATTATGCAAGTGGGGTTTTTGTGTTCATTTGGTTGGCCGAGGGCTGTTTTCTGTGGCACTGGGAAGGTTTTGTGCTCTGGCTCCCCTCTTCTGCCACAGAACCTTTTCACCAGGTGTCACAGGCCATTTCTTGTACTTTGATCTATGTAGAACAAAGCTTTGTTATAATATAAAGAGTATTACTGATTATACTCTGCATGTCTGCTGCCCTTAGGATCCAGTACCTGGTGTCCTGGGGCCTTGTGCTTCCAGCCCTCTCAAGCATGAAGCATCTGCCAAGTCCTGCTGTGACTTGGCTTTGCAGGAAAGCCTTTGGGACTCAGATTTTATTTCACATAACCCAGAATTTAGAGGGCTGCTCCTCAACCCTCATAGGCAGTGGTGTGGCAAAGAATGGCACAGTTTTCCTCTGCAGGGAATTCAGGCTCTGCCCTGAACCCACCAGCCTGGATGTCGGGTTTTACAGGGATCGATTATCCCCGGGGATAATCAGAAGGTTCTTCCTTTGCCTTTCCTTTTCTGGGTTTGAGGTCAGATGAGATGGATTCTCCAGTGTTGCCCTGCAGATCTGCCCTGTCTCCATCTCTGAGCCTTCCATGCAGAATTGGTAGCACGTGTCATTCCCAGCGTGCCATGGCCTGGCTGTCCCGTGTCCGTGTGCTCCGTGCCCCTGGTCAGCCAGGTGAGAGGTGGTAAATCAAACAGGTTCCTGATGAGTTCAAGTTCTTCTCTTTTCTTTTTCCCCAGAAGGTTCTGCTGCTCCCAACCAGCTTTTGGCACGGGGCTGGAGTTGGGTGCCAAAGCCAAATCTGAGGGTGTTGCTTTGAGCCTCAGGCTTCCAGCTGGATGAGGCAACACAAGGAACAGCAGAGGCTCATGTGACCTACTTCTTAAAGCTTGCAGCCTGCAGAGCAGAGACCTGGAGACAGCTCTCAGGGTAAATGAGGAATTGCTTCCATCCTGCATGGCCGTGGAGAGCTTTCAGGGTGTTTTTAACTATCATGGTTAATGGGCCACTTTGCCAGAGAAGCTGGGGCTGCCCCATCCCTGGAAGTGTCCAAGGCCAGGTTGGACGGGGCTTGGAGCAACCTGGGCTGGTGGAAGGTGTCCCTGCCCACGGCAGGGGGTGGAAAGAGATGGTCTTTAGGGTCCCTTCCAACCCAAACCATTCTGGGATTCTGTGAAAATCAGTGTTTGGATGAAGCACCCAACGGGTGTCATAACTAGTAAATGACAACCTGAGTTTTAAAGCTTATCACCTCCAATTAAGGATGGCTTTTCTAGGAGAGTGGTAAAAAGGCTTCTCTAGATTACTCTAAAAATTGCAAATTAAAGTTCCCCAAACCTGGAAAAGTTTCCCTTGCCGTGGTTTCCTGTAGGAACAGTCAGTAACCTGTGTGACAAATCCTGCTAGGAAATGGCACGGAGGGAGAAGTGCTGAAATGCAGCAGTGTATTGCAGATCCAAAATCTGCCCCTGCACAGGAGTGAAACAGGTGAAACCAGAGGGGGACTGTGGGGTTGTTCACTGTGCTGGCTGGAAAAGTGCCTGGTGCTGGAGAGCTCCTGTTCCCAACTGCCTGGAGTATGGAGATGGAGGGAGTGAGGGCTGGGAGCTGCTGTCACACACAGCTGGGTGCTTTGGAAAAGGATTAGGATGAAATTAAACTTCGGAATGTGGTAGGAGCTGACTTTGCTTACCTGCCTGTGCTCTTCTAGCTCTAACACTGCCCAGCCCTGGAGAGGCTGGATTTTTCCTTGGCCTTTCCTTAGCCTCTATTAATCCCCCTTCAATTGTGACTGTTCTGGCAGCACTTTTGTCTGCAAAGATCCCAGAATGGCTATTTTATGCCTTTTTCTCTGTTAACTTGCTCTTAGAAGAAGCCCCACGTGGCTTCTGAGTTCCCAGTTTAGATCAGCCTGTAGGGAAGTGAGTCTGAACATTTCAGGAACTGAGATCTTTATTCCAGTATTGTAAAAGGAACAGGGTAGGGATATGGGTCAAAGTCTGTGATAGGGATAAGAAATTACACGGGGCAAAGGCAGTGGACCTGTAGTAGATAATGACACTCAATAAATAAATAAATATCTTTACTACAATATGATACACCACAAAAATGATAAGAATCTTTGCTTCTGGAGAAAGAGATTTGTGAAATCAATACTCCTTTCCTTGTAGAATGTTGTCTGAGCCTTGGTAGGAGTGTATTTTACATATTTTATATCTTGAAGCTGTGGCCTGAGGTCTGTCTGCAAACAGGAGCTGGGATTGCTCCAGCCTCACCAGGGAAATCTCGAAGGCACTGGAGGTTGTGAAGGCAGGCAAAGGAAAAAAGAGAAATAAGAACAAATAGGTGAGTGAGAAAAATCAAAGACCCCTGTTAGTTTACAGATCTGGTGGGCACAAACTGATGTCCATGAAGTTCCACCTGAACATGAGGGAGAACTTCTTTCCTGAGCAGCGCCCAAGCACTGGAACAATTGCCCAGAAAGGGTGTGGAGTCTGCCTTGCTGGGGATATTCCAGAAGTGTCTGGATGAAATCCTGTGCCACGTGCTCTGGGATGGCCCTTCTGGAGCAGGGAGGTGGGCCCAGGTGTCCCACTGTGTCCTTTCCAGCTTGTGATCCTGCGTTGAGCGGTGCTCGGAGGACAGGACACGTGTTTGTACCCACTCCAAAAAGCAGAGTGGCAGAAGCAGCTGTGGGATTGTGCATTTTTCCTTAGTACCGTTCCCCTAATGATTATGGGGATTTGCTACATTTGGGCTGCTTGTGTGGGATCCTATCCCACTGGCTGGCCCAGCTGCACTGGGAACCTTCAGAACTGTCAGGCACAGAGCAGAGAGGGTGCAGGAGAGCAGGATCCTCACGGTGCTGAGCGTTAGTGGCCATGTCACTGGGGCAGGGTCATTCAAACCCCCCCTGGCAGTCCCACATCTGGCTTGTTTCAGGTGAGCTCTGCAGCACAAGAAGACCCAGGTAGGTGCAAAGCTCCCTCCTGGCTTGGGCTCGTTTCTCCCATTGTGCAATCCTGGCAAACTGGTTTTGAGCTCAGTTTCTGGCTGGCTGTGGCAGTCCCCACCAGCAGTGGGAGTTGCCAATGCTGGAGGTTTCAGTGGCTGATTTGTTGTCCCTTCTGGAGCTCGTGTTTCTCTCCAGCAGCTTTCTGAAAGTTAGGGATGATCACACATGTTTGAATTGTAGAACAAGGAGAGGAAAAAAGTTTCCTGCTGTCATTGAAGTCCTCGTTGCTTGTGCCAGGAGGTAGTGCCTTACCAACCTGTATCTCTGGTGCTTCCATTAATCTGTGCTTTGTTTTTGTGGCTTATTTCTAATTTGTTATCTCACCAGTGAGGTTTTAGGGCTGCAGATCCAGACTTGACTTACACACAGAATTCAAAACTCTCTGTGAAAGGCCCTGGGTGAAAGGTGAGGTAGATAAGCTGGAACTGCTTGTTGGGGCAGTTCAGTATCACTGTATCTCTGCGGGCCGATGCCAGAGGTATTACACGTGTTCATTGGGGAATATTTAGGTTTCAGAAGCACTGATCTTAATGCATTTGGAATTGCACGAGCAGAATTCCACTCCTGGTGACTGGAGGATGCTCCTTTCACTGGGGTGACAGCCTCCCCTGGGACTGCTGTCTGCATGCAGCCAAAAGCTGCTGAGCCCGCATCTGCCTCAGGTGTTCTGCCACTTGTTTCCTCCTGAGAGCTGTCTTTAGGCTGTGTGCCCTCTAGGATCTCAGGTGGGGAACTCCTGGAGAAGCACTGTGACAGGTGTGGATTGAGGGAGCATGGAAGTGGAAGTGCAGGCACTTCACTCTTCATGTAGAGAACAAACAAAGCCAAAGAGTCTGAGAAGGGGCTGCTGAAGATGACAACTTGGAAAACTAAACAAAGTGCTGAACCTTCCTCTGCAGGTTCCCCAGTTCTAGGGAAGCAGATAAACAAGAGCAGAGGCTCTCGTAGTAGTTTGAGTGCAGGGTGGATGTGGCCAGTATAGCCCTGGAACGTGGGAAAGCTTGGCCATCCTCCCTGCTTCCTCCCCCCTTCGCTCCCGCTGTGCCAGGCGTACAGCAGGGAGCAGGCAGGGGCCATGGAGGGAATGGTGTCACTAGTCATTTCACAGCTGGTCTCTGGGCTCCTTCTCCAGAGGTTCAATGCTAATTTGGGTGGTGCTTTTCCAGTAAGATGTCATCAAGGGGGAGGCAATTCCTGCAAGGATTCAAGAGTACAGAGTTGTGCCAAGTCAGGGACAGTGACCTTCCCCAACTTCCACGTGGGAGAACACTGCAGGGGACACCCCTCTCCTTCCGTGACACCTGCCCAAAGGCTGCAGCACCTGGGGGTTGATACCACTGAGCAAAAAGGATGTGTGGCCTGTTTTAATATCCACCTCTACCACCTTGGTGCTGGTGAACTTGTTGGGCATGTTGGGGTGGGTGTTGAGGAAACCAGCGCTCGTGCCTGGCTTTGTAAACACTCACAGGAGTGCTGGCACTTTGGGGTCATTTCTAGGGTTCTGCTAGGACAGGAATTTCGATTAAGAAGGTGATTTGGAACAGGAAGATGGCTGTAGCAAAGGCCTCCCATGCAGCTGCTCACGGGGCCTGTGGTGGTTACACACAGGCTTTGCTCTCTGGGGGTCCTGTTGGTGTAACAGGTCACACAGCGGGCTCTGAGAGAGCTTCTGGTCAAGGGATTTATTGTCTCTCTGAGATCAGGGTGTTGGGGCAGTACAGGCTTCCCAAGGAAGTGCTGAGTCCACGTGCACAAGGGCAGGTACCCAGAGCATGACTTTGTTCTGTCCCTCTCAGTAGGGAAAGGAAGGAGTCTCCCATCCTGTAAGTGTGGTGAGAATCCCCCCAGATAAAAATATTCCCTGGAATCATAGAATCATAGAATGGTTTGGGTTGGAAGGGACATTAAAACTCATCCAGTCCCACCCCTGCCATGGGCAGGGACACCTTCCACTAGCCCAGGTTGCTCCAAGCCCCATCCAGCCTGGCCTTGGACACTTCCAGGGATCCAGGGGCAGCCACAGCTTCTCTGGGCAACCTGTGCCAGGGCCTCACCTCCCTCAAAGGGAAGAATTTCATCCCAATATCCCATCTAACCCTGCCCTCTGGCAGTGGGAAGCCATTCCTCCTTGTCTTGGCACTCCAGGCCCTTGGAAATGGTCTCTCTCCATCTTTCCTGTTGGCCTCTTCAGGCCCTGGAAGGCCACAATTGGGTCACCCCAAAGCTTCTCCTCTCCAGGCTGAACAATCCCAACTCTCCCAGCCTTTCCTCCCAGCAGAGCTGCTCCAGCCCTCGGATCCTCTTGGGGCCTCCTCTGGACTGGCTCCAGCAGCTCCATGTCCTTGCTGGGCTGTTCCCAGGGCTGGAGCAGCTCTGCAGGGGGGTCTCCCCTGAGGGGCAGAGGGGCAGAATCCCCCCGTGCCCTGCTGGCCTTAGGTAACAGTGCTGTGAGTTGCCAAATCATTCCTGAAAGTGCTTGTTATCAAGCAAGGCAGCTGCTCAAGTGCCCTTTTCTTTCCATCTGGAGAGATTTTGCCCCCATGTGTGCTCTGCTGGAGTGCTGCTGCTTCTCCCAGCTGTGTCAGCTGAAGTTCTTACAGCTTGTTCAAGAGCCCAAGAAGTTCTTCCATGAAAATTGAGTGTCACTAATATATATGTC